TTACACACAGACATACAAACTGACACACACAGACATACATACTGACACACACACAGACATATAAACTGACACACACACATACTAACTGACACACACAGACATGACACACACAGACATACTGACACACACACAGGCATACTGACACACACAGACATACAAACTGACACACACACAGACATGACACACACAGACATACTGACACACACACAGACATACAAACTGACACACACAGACATACAAACTGACACACACACAGACATACAAACTGACACACACACAGACATACAAACTGACACACAGACATACAAACTTACACACAGACATACATACTGACACACACAGACACACACACAGACATACAAACTGACACACAGACATACATACAAACTGACACACAGACATACAAACTGACACACACACAGACATACAAACTGACACACAGACATACAAACTGGCACACAGACATACATACTGACACACACACAGACATACAAACTGGCACACAGACATACATACTGACACACACACAGACATACAAACTGACACACAGACATATACCGACTGACACATACATACTGACACTCACACAGACATACTGACACACACACAGACATACATACCGACACACACACAGACACATACATACCGACACACACAGACATACATACCGACACACACACAGACATACATACTGACACACACACAGACATACAAACTGACACACACACAGACATACAAACTGACACACAGACATATACTGACTGACACCTACATACTGACACACAGACAGACATACAAACTGACACACACAGACAGACATACAAACTGACACACACAGACAGATAGTCTTCAGTTTCCTACCTTTGAAAGAGGCTTCCTTCCCTGGGGTCCAGTGTGCTGGCTGGGGTAGTTGGGAGTTGGGGGTCAGGCTCTTCTTGCTCCCCCTCCTCACTGGATCCTGGCTAGCAGCCTCCCACGCGGCCCGATCTCTTTGAGGTGGGAGGAAGTGATTTGCGGACGTCACTTCCTCCCATGCAGCCGTTAAGCAAGGGGCCCGGTCGCGCTGTTAAAGGGCCACAGCGCCGACCGGACCCCTGCTGGAACATGCTCACTGAGTGGCCCTAAAGGTATGGGCCACCCGGGCCTTAGTGTGCGGGCCCCGGTGCAGCCGCAATGCTAGCACCGCGGGCCCATTAGGTAGGGAAATATCTTTAAAAAATACATTTTTATTGCAGGCGACGGGGCCCACGGGGCAGCTGCTTTGGGCCCCCCATGAGTAACTGGGCCCAGGGCAGCTGCCCCGTTTGCCCCTCCTTAAAGACGGCCCTGGAACTTTTCATGGAAGACATACTTAGTAAATTCTCAAAATATCCATCATTAAAGCATAAAAATAGCTTCAGTAGCTAAAGTTATTCCCTTAAATTTTGATAATTGTGGCGGGCACACTGCATTGCTATCATGTTGCTAACCTCAACAAGTGGGGTTTGAGAATATTAACCTTTTCATGGTCAGAGCTTATGAAAGCAATCATTTTTCAATTCTGTCAATCCTCCAAAAGATAAAACTGTAATTTCCTTAGAACAAACACAAAGCTAACAAAATGGAAAAACAAAACAACACAAAAACAGGAATTTATTTAGAACGTTCATTGGTCCTAAATATCATTATATACAATAGAGCTAAAACATTTTTAGCCAGTTGGAAAGGTTACTGTAATAGATAAAGATAGAAGCGATATGTCTGTAATGCACAACACTTGAGAGGAATGATGTAATATGGGATTCAGAAAACAATTCTAGAGAGGATTCTTAAGAGCTTTAACTCTTACTAAACCATATGTGTTGCCATGCAATACACTTGGCTTAGAGAACACTTGGATTTGCTTTAACTCTCTAATCCAGAAAAGAGGTGCCAAATAAATCACATGATTGTCTGCCTTCTTATGGGTTAACAATTTAATAGTTTCCACACACTTTTCTCCCCAAGAAAGACGTGTGACTAAATGCCTACATGTCGCCTCAATGAAAAATACTTGTCTTCGTAAGGATTTATAGCATGAGAGCAACAAAAAAAATCATATAGATTTATCTGTGTACAGTATGTATAAGAAAAGGTTCCACAATCTTCCACCAATGTAACCTTCCAAATGAAAATATCCAACAAACAAATATGTTGACTTATAAGAACACTCCAGGACCATAACCACTATAGTGCGCTATGGTGGTTATGCAGCCAGGAGTGCCTTGGCATCGCCTATTGTATATAGTAAAACAGTTTTTGAAGAATTTCACTTCAAATCTGGGGCCTGCCAGATGCCACTTCCGCAGCCACTAATTTCAACAAAGAGCTTGAAGCTCCTGCTTAAGAAATTCCATTAACTCTCCTGAGCTAGGCCCTGCAGTGCTGGGCTAACTCATTGGCTGAGAGCATCAGCTGATTATCAGCAATGTACGGCTTGGCTCATACAGAGAGCCTTTGATTCTCTGTTGGAAGTCATGGAGATAGATGGCGCTGCCTGGAGCACTCCAAATAAGAAGTCATACAGTTCTAAAACCGTTTGACTACTTACAAAGGTGGATGGGTGTCCGGGCACGCTGCAGTGGTTATGGTGCTTGGAGTGTTCCTTAAAAATTGCTGATCTAGTTTAAGAAATTTTGTAAAAAACGATTTGCTCTTAACATTTCATGCCTCTTGCTGGAAGATATTTTCCAGTAGAACACCTATTTCAGATTGGGAACATATGAAAAGGTGTGCCTGGCACATATTAAACAAAAATCATAAAGCAGAAAGAGAAGGATAAAACATGC